TGAAAATATTTTATCACAGTACTCAGGAATAAATCTATTATGTAATTTTAAAAAGTGAATTAAGTAGTACACCTTCCCTCTCATCTCTGTGTATTTCTTTTCCCTGCACAGTTTTCGTATGAGACTCTAATGGGATAACACCACTATCTTTAGTATCATCGCTATACCACTGCATTTGCACCATGAGCTTTCTTGCTGATTGCACAACAAGCCTCAGAGGTAAAGGAGGCAGATATCAGTTTCACATTCTGCATAGGCAAACAAGCTCAGAGACGTGAAAAGATTTTCCTAGGATCCCATTGCTCATATGAGTTGCAGCTGCACCCTAGTTTGGATTCTCTCTTCAGTAGTCCTAGAATCTATTGGGTTTCTTGGTTGCAAGCTATAGAAACCAACTCTGCTCATCCTAAGACAAAGAAAGAAAGGAAAGAATGAAGGAAGGAAGAACGGAAGGAAGGAAGGGAGGTTGGGAGGGAAGGATAGAGAGAGGAAAGAAAGGGAAGCCAGAATATACTGGCAGCAAACCAGTGGCTCCAGTATTAACAAGAGGCTGGAGCACCTGTCTTGGAAAACTGGCAGTGATCGGGCAGTCCTGGCATCAGAATCCATGATTCGGAATCCATCTGGTCTTTGCGTTGCTGCTGGGAGGACTAGAATTCAGAAAGATTTTTTTCCTTGGAATCCTTTCTCAGGATTCCAAGTCCCAGGAGGGAGGCCTGATTGGCTGAGTTTTACTTTCATGCCCACTCCCTGACTATATACTAAGACACTAGGAGAATTTGGGTCCCTTCACTCCTGGGAGGAATTCTCCAGTCAGGATTGGGGAATCTTTCAAAAGGGAAATTTTGGAAGTCAGGGACTTCCTCCGAAGGGCAGTTAGGCTGCTAATTCTAGTAAGTTGTCGGATGCTGGAGTCCCCAAAGAATGGCATTCCTCTATTGTACTACTGGTCTTCTTACTGGAGAAAAGAACAAACAAATGATCCATATTAGCAGCTGGAATCACGATCAAGGTGACAGTCGGACAGATGGTGCTAGTAGGACACTGGACTATAACTAACTTCAGACTCCGAAGACATCCAAGTTTGAACCAACCTGGTGGTTTCTGGTGCCTTTGCAGCTCTGGTGTTTGCATGGAGCTGTGTTACTTGAAACTGGGCCCAACACTTGCTTTCCAGACTGAGTTGATTCTCAGTCTTGACTAGTGAATTACAAAACAGGACTGCATGCTCATCATACTAAAGATTCAACAAGGTAAAAAACCAAACAGAATAACAATGACAACAGAAAAGTCATGGGCATCTAAGAGGACATAAAATAATAATAGAAAACACAGTAGCAACAAGAGGAGTCGAGGCTGCTGCCCAGTGTGGCAGCTGGAATAGTTTAGGAAAGCAAGTGGAATTTTAAGGAAGTGTGTTAGTTTGGTAGGGCTGCCATAATGAAGGATCATAAACTGGTTGGCTTAGATACAGATACTTATTGTCTTGCCATTCTTGAGGCTAGAAGTTCAAGGTCAAGGTGTCAGCAGGGTTGGATCCTTATGAGGACTCTGTGGGAGAATCCGTTCCTGGCCTCTCTCTTAGCTTCTGTTGGTTTCCTGGCAATCTTTGGTGTTCCATGGCTTGTAGCTACATCATCCCAATCTCTGCCTTCATGATCACATAATGGTCTTTCTCCACATGTGTCTGTCTCCGTATCCAAATTTTCCCTTTGTATAAGTACACAAATCATACTGGATTAGGGCCCAGTCCTAATGACCTCATTTTAATTTGATTACCTCTGTAAAGACCCTATTTCCAAGTAAGATCACACTCTGAGCTACTGGGGATTAGACATATTCATTTGAGGGACACATTGCAACAAACAATAAGGAGGATGCTTGCTGTTAGTCAAGAGCGATACTTTTTGTAGAATATTTTTCTGGGCACCAAAAGGCATGTTCATCCACCACTTCCTATATAGGAACAGCTCAGTTTGTGAGATTGGTGATTTTACTAGGCTCAAATGACAATGCCAAGGCTGCAGATATTATGTCCTGAAGTCTGACCTTTATTAACTCCTAGTCCCATGTTTACTATAAAGTACTGAGTCCTTTCCTAGGAAGGTGTTTGCTGTGTTGTATGTTATTCAACACATTTATTTCATTTAGAGGTTTCATTTCTTTCATTTTGATCTTAGTTTTCCAAAACTTATCAAGAATTTTCTGTCATTTAATACTTTTTTAGCACTTAAATATGATATCACTGGTAGAGAGGTGTTATAGCTTTAGAATTTAATAATTACAACCAATATTGAATTAAGTAATTATTAGGTTAATAAGTATGAAATGTCTGATTTCCTTAATTACTAAGTCGACAGTTGATATCTCTGACATTTCACTTTGACACTTCTTGTTTTATTTTTATTGTGAAGGTACAGTCTCACTTTTTCAAACACATGGTTTGGCTTGTGATCATCTTTCAAAAAATTTTTTAGAGCAATTTTTGTGAAACCATGGATAAGTAAAAATGTTGTGTTTCTTTTTTTTTTTTTTTCAAATATAAGCTCTGTTGTGGAACCAATGCAGCACAGACAGCTTGAAATATCAACAAGTGTTTGGGAGGATGTGGCTGATGAATGCACAGTATGTGGTTTGAGAAGTTCCATTCTAGTGATTTTAATCTTCAAAATGAGCCATGTGGGTGACCTGAGACCGAGGTGGAGAATAATGAGTTGAAAGCTATGGTTGGAAGAGAATCCATCTCCACCTACTGGTGAATTAGCAGCAAGGTTTGACATTATTATTCCAACAACATTGGATCATGTGAAACAAATGGGCAAGGTAAAGAAGCTGGATACATGGGTTCCACATGTATTAAATGAGCATCAGTGAGAAATTGTCTCAAATTTTGCCTTTCTTTGTTGTCACAACATCAAGGTGAATCATTTCTACACTGTATTGTTATATGTGATGAAAAATGGATTCTTTTTGACAACTGCAAGCATCCAGCACAATGGCTGGATAAAGATGAAGTGCTTTTTGAAACACAGTCCATAACGGAATATTCATCAAAGAAAGCTAATGGTGTGTGTTTGGTGGTCCAGCACTGGTATTATCCACTGCAGCTTCCTGAAACCTGGTCAATCAATTACAGTGGATGTCTACTGCAACCAACTGGACAAAATGATGAGGATGCTTGTGATCAAACAGCCAAGGTTGGTCAATAGAGACAGGCCAATCCTCTTGCAAGATAATGCTTGACCCCATGTCACACAAACGACATTGCTCAAACTGTGGCAGGGGGACTTGGAAACTCTCTGTCATCCACCATATTCACCAGACCTTGCACCAATTGACCACAACTTCTTCCAGGCTTTGGACCACTTCTTGCAAGGAAAAAACATTCAATTCTCAATAAGCTGTGGAGAACACCTTTTGTGATTTCCTTGCCAGTCGCTCTCCAGGCTTCTTTGGGGCTGGCATAAACAAGCTACTGTTAAGATGGAAAAACTGTGTCAATAGTTTAGGCACATACTTTGATTAATTGTATTGCTTTTTGTTTGAGATATAATAAACTTTTGATTCAAAATCAGACATTTCATATTTAATGACCAACCATGTACATGCTAAGAGCATAATAAGATCTTTATATAGATGATCTCATTGAATTTTTGAATTATTCTCATTTTACCCATGAAGAAACTGAGGCAATGAAAAGTTCCATGAATTTCTCAGGGTCAGTAGCTTTCCAGTGATGGGAGAATTTGGACTCAGGCTGACCCTAAAGTCCAGGATTCACCATTATGCAATACTGCTTAGAGTCAGACAGTTTCCGTAAATTGAGATTATGCAAAATTTGCCTTTTGGCTCCTTGCTTACAAACCAGTATCTTTTTTATTCATAACTAAAGATTTCCTAAAATATTTGCTGGGTGGTAACAGCAATATTCTAATCAACTGTTCTGCATATCTTCTGGCAAAGCCCTCAGTGGGGGGTTTAGAACTTAAGGGAGAGGTTATTATATTGGAGAAACACTCTTCAGGCATCATCACTTTGTTATAAAAAGGAATACTTTCCCCTTGGACCCAGGTCAGCTCTCAACTGGGTTATGTCATGCAAGTTATTCAATGCTGGGAGATGAATTTGTCTCTACCTAGCATGGACTGCATGATATTAGATTTCTATTGATTTAAAGGAAGAAGACACAGCTGCCTGAAATAACAAACTTTCATCTTCTGTAGCTGGTAATGGATGAAAAAAACTTGCATCCTTTTTTCCCCCATGTCTGGAGAGAGTAGGGAGAGAGGAGACAGAATACATTAAATTATCTTTTGGCAAGCTTTAGCTTCTGCATGCGTCAGGCCTTGCCCTGGAAACATGCCACATCAAGAATGTGCCCAGGTACAAGAAGAAATTAATCTTGACATAGGTAACATTTTGCATTTGGAAATTCTCTATGTCAAAAAGTATCAGCTTCTGAGAGTTTTGGCTAATTTCTTTCTTTTTTTTTAGAGATAGACTCTTGTTCTTCTTGCTCTGTCGCCCAGGCTGGAGTGCAGCAGCATCATCATAGCTCACTGTAACCTTCAAATCCTGGGCTCCAGCAATCCTCCTGCCTCAGCCTCCCAGGTAGCTGGGACTACCAGGCACATACCTCCATGCCCAGCTAATTTTTTGGTTTTTTTTAAAAAATTATGTAGAGATGGTGGATGGATCTCTCTATGTTGCCCGGGCTGGTCTCAAACTCCTGGCCTCAAGCGATCCTCCAACCTTGGCCTTGCAATGTGCTGGGATTACAGGTGTGAGCCACCATACCCAGCATAGCTACTTTCTTAATTGCCTTTGCAACACAGCAAATATTTTCTCTCCTCTTCTAAAGGGAAGATGATTTGCTCTTTATCTTTCTCCCTGACTGTGTGCAAATGCTATGGCCTTTAACAGGTTTTTTGGATGGGCTTAAGAGCTGTAAAAACAAATCCTTCCTGATTTTATAAACTTATTGGTTTCCTCCGGGAATGTGCTGAGGTGTCCACAGCCGGCTGCCGTGTCAGATAGTAAATGTGGTGTGATGATGACTGCATTGGATGGTGAATGGAGGATTCTCAACACCAGGTACTGGCCAGCCAACAGGGCATGAGCTTGTCCCATGGCAGCAGAAAGTTGCTCTGTAGGCCAATAGCAAGGCTGAAAAATGGCTGATGCAAACAAAAGCCAGTCCTGATTGTACCCAAGTCCTGCCTACCGTGTCAGTGCCAGCAGGCAGAACACTCCCTCACTGCTGACACTGCAGAGCATGCCACAGCACTCACAAAGGGGTCCCTGTGGGCTCTGCAGCGGACCTCCCACTACTGCAGATAGTGCAAACAGAGATTAGCGGGCATTGAAAACTAAGCAAATAACTTAAGGGGTGATATTTGAACACACTTATACATCTAGATCTTGATCTTCTTTTATTCAATTTCATGGTAATGCAAATATTTAATACAACAGCTTGAGATATTTTTAGCCCTGTGCTGTGTGTGCTAAAATAGATTCTGGCTTCTCCAGAGTTCAGAGTCTGAGTCTTATTTAGCTATCAATCCGATTAGCAGAAAGTTTGCCAAATAAATTATATGTGGAGAGGGTGGAAGCAGGGAACCCCACAGCCACACTGATTAAGAAAGGACATTGTGGGTGCCCTTTCCATAAACTGAAAGCATGCTTTCTTCCTCTTCTCGTGGCCCCTGTGACTTTATACAAGTCTGAAGAGGGAAGTTTCATCATAGCAACAACCAAAGAGATACAGTGTGGCCGACTGGAGTATTTCTTATGAATTATCATTTTTACATCTTTAAATTGGAAATGCCTCTCTATTAGACTAACAGAAAAGTGTTATGTATTTATGTTATGATATCCAAAAAGAGGCACTTTGGGATTATTAAGTGAGAGGTGCTAAATATTTATAGACTGCCATCAATACTCACTAAGAGTTGTAGAATTTGCTAATAGATTTCTTTTATTTACATGATGACTTTATATTTATTTAAAAAAAAAGGAAAAGAAAAGAAAAGAAGGAAAAAGACAAGACTCCAGAGGTTTTCTTTACTATCATTTTGTACCTCTGAACTGAAATTATTGGCCTTTGCTATGAGTGCTACTAGGTAAGAAAGGTTAACCTCAATGTTAACCTCAAAGTTTAACAATGTTAAACTTTCATTTTTCCTTTGAAAAAGTGGTATTTAGATCATCACATGCTAACTGGCTACTTCGAATCCATACTGGACAGCAGTTAAATAGAAATAATCTCCAAAGAGTAAATATTCCAAAAATGATGTTCTCTTTACTCTGGAAAATGAGAGTACTTTGAATAGCCAAAAGGGAGGCTCTTTTATTGTTCTTTTCCTCCTTTACCTGGATTTATGTTCAGGTTGAGGAACCACATTATTCCACAGAGGATGATGCACAAAAACAACACAGAGAAATGTCAGAACAGAGAAATACACAACAGTGAAGTACCAGCAGGAAAATGTTGGCCATGTGTTGCTTGTTCTTGCTGCCCCAACTCCCTGCTCACTGGTGGAAGGCACTCTCTCTCTTTCTCTTTGGTTTTTAAATTTTTCCTTCTGCTACACAAAACCATACTGGTGTCCAGTTTGGATTTAAAGTAACCATTTAGCATGTGATGGTCTAAGTACCATTTTTCCCAAGGGAAAATAAAAGTGCATTGAGGTTAACCTTTCTTACCTAGTAGCACTCACTTGTTACCAAAGGCAATAACTCCAGTGATTTCAGTTCAGTTCTCTCTTAACAGTTTACACATGGAATCTCAAAAACAATCATTTCTAAGTTCTGTGCATTCTGAAAGAGTAACAATTCTGGTCCTTTCTTTCTCTAAGCAAAAGAGAAGCTAATAAAATTCTCAACAATTTTACTAGTGTGGGGACTTACTGCATGGAGGTGCTAAATATTGAGAAATCTCTTCTCGAGTGTATATAAACCCTTAGAGAGAAATCTCATGACCACAGCCTTTGGTACACATTACTTAACACCATTTGCCCTGGGCATGTTAGGGACAGGGATATTGATGTGAGGTTGGGAAATACTGCGCAGATGTGATAAGGACTGATGTGGTTTCTCTAGGAGTCCTCTATTTCTGGACTAGAGATCATAACTCAGTGTCTAATTAAAAGGCTGAAAGACACAAGGGAAATAAACTGCGGAGACTTTTCAGAGAGCAATTCTCTAGAAACTTCTATAACACTAGCTACTAAACTTATAATGGTTGCATCAAAAGATTTGATCTCTGGCACTGTATATTTCAGAAATGCAACTGCTTTAGCTGACAGTCAGCTGGCTAGGCACTTGGCAGCTATTTTTTCATGTGCTGCCAAAGGTAAGAGTTTGCCATTGCTAGGAATTATAAATTACAGAAAGTCAGTCAAATGGGAGTGATTATGAAAAATGACCCATGAGCCAGTTTTTATAAAGATGTCCAAATAAGTAAGGGAATTTTTTTTTCTAATGACTGAAGTTTAATCCTATTTGTGTGTCATTAAGAAAGTCAGTGGTGGAATATATTAAATACAAATGATTCAGATAAACAGCAAACAATATTCAGATAAACAGCAAACAGCAAACAGCACTCAATCATGTATAAGAGCGTATGACTCAACTCCAGCGTTTCACTTCTTGGTTTGAGGAGATAGGTTTCTTGCAGGAAGTGTGAAGGCCAGATATGTAAATGGTAAGACACAAAGTCATTTAGGGGAACAATAAGGAAAGGAGGTTGCTACCGTTATTATTAAGCGTCTACTACACACTCATACACTGTTCCTAGCACTTTGCATGTCTAATCTCAGGTACTCTTCTCAGCAACTCTATGAAGCTGGTGAAATTATCTCTGTATTTCAGATTCTTACCATTGGGAAAGTTAAGTAAATTTTGTAAGGTCTCATAGACAGTAAGTTGACTTCAGAGAGTCCCAGGCCATTCTGATCCCAGATTCCAAAGCCCAAGCTTCTTCCCATTGCCCTTCATCGAGGGGAATATCAGGAACACCCACTAAAGGGGAAATAAAATCTCAGAAGGTCTGCCTGACAGATTTATGAATGAATGGAGGGAAGAATCTCACTGCTGGGCTACAGGAAGGAGAATATTAACTCTCCACTCCTACTTTTTAACCAACCCAATCTCCTGCAACAAATCCAACGAACATACTGGATGTTCACACACCTGTACTGTGGAATTCATCTGGACAAACTCCAATTTCATCCTTTTTATCTGACCTTTTTAACATCTCTCCTTGACTCCTGGTCACTACCTGACACCTCCTTATGTTCCTGGCTCCTTCTGTCCACACCTCTCCAGCAGAAACTCCAGGAGAACCTCTATGCGCTCTCTTAGGCTCCCACGATTCTGATTTTTTGTATTTCAGCTTCTGCCTTTTACTTGTACCTGTGGAACCTGCGGGCCCGTCCTGCTCACTACAGAGCTCTCTGTCTGTCATAGGAAGGACACGGCACTAAGTTCAGAAAAGCATATTTAATCATCAGTAACTGTATTTGGACAATTTTCTAAACATTGTTAAGTCATTGCTTTTAAAGCTGTTAAAACCATGTTAATGTATTTTTTTGTAGATCAGTAAATTTGGTTCTTGGTCAGTTTGATCATTTGGTGAATTGATTCTTCGCTCATTTCCTGACTGGGAGCTGGGAGTAATGACTGAACAAGGCTCAAGTTAGCAGTTGCCTCTCTTCTCTGGGACCTTCCTACTTTCTGGAATTCTTGAGAGTCAGACCCGAGAGTCAATGTGGCCAGGACACAGGCCATGAAGAGTCATTCTATTGCGGTGGCTGGGGTAAACTGGGTAGAGCTTCCTATAGTCAAGCAGGGTCTGGACAGTCTAGGTTGGAACTAGTTTCTCTTGCTATTTGAGCAGCTACTCCTGACACCCTCCTGGAATGGGGCTTGCAGTTCATATTCTCCAGCTGGTGCAGAAGGCAAAGTTAGAAGCATTTTTAAATCACGGATTTTCCTTCCCTTACAAAGGTCTTAGATTAATATGCTGAGAATTAACAATTTTGAAAAGAATGGTTTAGCAACTTTTAGAAAAATGTCCAAATATAGTTATGATGCTTAAACATTTTTTTGTGAACACAATTAATATTTAGCATTTCAAGCAGAAAATTTTCAGTTTATACAGATTTTTATTTCAAAATGTTAAACATTTTCAGTTTGCTAACATTTTAACATCTATGTTTTAATGTTTTTCAGATTTCTAACTAGCTTTTTAATCTTTCCTTTACATTGGACATTAATAAACATCAAGTTAATTTGAGGTACACACATCTTATCCATCTAAGTATTCTCTTCTAAACATCCATACTTCCTTTCCACTGATTTGAGCAGTTTTATATTTTTAAGTTGAAACTTAAAAATTAAATAAAGACAACTACTGCAGAGTACCTAACACAGTGCTAGTATATCATCTACTTAGAGTCAATGTTGCAAACGGCTACCCATCTTTTTGTTTTTGAATTTCTTGTTAGAGACCAAAATATCAGAATTTTATCTTTGATAGGATTCTTGACTAATTCTGATTTATATCAGATGCTCTTTAAATTAAATTTAAAATTTTAATTTAATAAAAATCGAGTCTAATTTTACTTGTAAATGAAATGTAATAAAATTTAAGTATTCTGTATTAAAAATTTAAATTAGTTAAATTAAAAATCACTTGCTAAAAATATAAATTAAGGCTGACATGGCTTTGAAAAATTGGCGAAATAAACTAAATGTGCTTACATTTTGGAAAAAAAATTATTATAAAGCACAAATTATTATAAAGCACCAGAGAAAAATCAGAAGTCACATACTTACAAAAAGTCAGTCAAATGGGAGTGATTATGAAAAATGACCCATGAGCCAGTTTTTATAAAGTTGTCCAAATAAGTAAGGGAATTTTATTTATGCCAAAGTTTGAGTGGAAAAAGTGGTTCATATCAAAATTTTCAGTGATTTATGATTTATGAATTGTGATTACCATTTTAACACTGTTAGTATTATTTTATCAAGTAGCCAATCAAACTTAGTTTAGTCAATATTCGAAAGAATATATTTGACTACACATAGTAAAAAAGCAAATATGTTTATTAATACTGATAAAAATAGCAGTTTGTAAATTTTGGTTATTTTGCAAATTGATTATTTCAAGGACAGATTTTTAGTGAATTGGCCTGCCTTTCTCTGCAGGAGGTTGCAGTTAAAATAAACATGAAAACATCAGTAATAATGGCAACATTGATTCTAAGTAGATGTTGTACTAGCATTGTGTTAGCTACTCTGCAGTAGTTGTCTTTATTTAATCCAAACAACTTTTTGGATTAGATATGATTGTCATTTTACAGAGGAGAGATCTGGGGTTCTAAGGGGTTAATACTGTAAGTTGCCCAAGAGAAGCAGAATCAAGACTGCTTGTCTCAAAGGCCAGGGTGCCTGGTAGAGTTCCCAAGCTGTGAAATGCAAGATGAAAATCACTCTTGGCTAGATCAATGAAGATTGAGATGAGGAAAGGGGACTTGCTTCCACTTTGCTGGCTACATGGAAAGAGCTCAGCGTGTCCATGTATTGCAGCATCTGGGGCAAACAGTAAGTGGGCTGGAACAATTTCCAGTCAATCCCTCAGCAAGTAGGAGCCACAGTAGAGGGGGAACAGGTGATGGGTCGGGTCCAGGTATCCTGCCTGGAGCAGGGTGAGGCACGGGGCATTTACTGGCAGTGGCTGCAGCTCCACATTGAGCAGAGTGAGTAGCCTGCTGGTCCCTGGCTGCTCAGCACAGCTCTCCATTTTTTTTTTCCCTGTAAGGTCACCAGGGCTATTTATGTGGCCTAATTTATATAAGGTATATTTAAGGAGGGCGACCTAGAACTGTTTGCTCTGTGGAAAGACGCACTTCATGGCTAGGAAGAAGGTGAGAGGGTCTCTTGTCTCATAACTTCAAGGCATAGAACTCAAGGGCATATGCTCAAGTCTAGTTCAAGGCAGCCAGCTATAGGGGCCATCAGAGCAAGAGCACATGGAATGGTTTTGACTGGCTTCTGGCAAGCTTTTCTTTGGATAGACTGGGATGAGATGTTTATGGCCTGATATGTTGCATGAGCCTTAGATCTTTATTAATACCAGTTAGCAAATACTCCTCCTCCTCCCTTTCCTGTTACTTTCTATAACTGTCATGACTAGCCTGGAGTGGATTATCTTAAATTTTTATACTCCAGTTATAGATATGGGTGTAACTGGAGCTCTTTTGTTCCCTCTTCTCAGATTGAATGTCTTTACTTAGTGAGATGGCAAGATATATATATATTAGATTTACAGTTCAGTGGATTTTAACATATTCAAAAAGTTGTACAACCATTACCAGTATCTAATAACAGACATTATCACAATCTCAAGATGTTTTATTATTTCTCCTTTCAGGTAACTGTGTCTCATTTCTTGCCGGGCAGTCACTAACTCTAGAATTTGCCAGCGAATGAGGTATGATTTATAGAGACAACACTAAGTTAGGAAGGTGATTTCCATGTGCAAGAATAAGAAACTAGGGGAAAAAGGATATCCTGAAACATTCCTGGAATCTTCCTTTTTCTGTTAACCTGAGAGATAATGATAGGAGGTTTTGAGGAAGAGACCTTTAAATGATTGTGGGCCATTTTTATTTTTCTCAGCATCCCTTAGGTAAACAAAGGAAATCAATATAAACAATGGAGATCTCTGATACATTTAGGAAATGGAAAACAATGTCCTCGTAAGAGTTGGACTGATCCAAACTGATGCAGAAGTGGTGGAAAATTCCATCATCTTTGAATATTTATCCCCTTTGAGAATACAGCAGAACATCTACTGCTAACATTTAGTCAGTGGGACACTGAATTGGAATGATTTAACCAATCAAATAAACCAGCCAAATGTTTACCCCCATATCTGAGAGAAGCAGTCTCTCACAGGTGTTTTATTCATGTGTCGGATCACCTGGAAAGGAGATATTTTCTGAGGCAAGCACGGAAAAGGCTGGATTAGAATTATTTATTGGTATTTTGGTAGCTCTGGGGCATTGGGCTTATAAAGTCCCAGAAGTTGATAGGGATTAAAATAGAAAGCCAGATCTATAATGATCTGGAACAGGTTTATGATCCCAATTAAGACCACAGGGTTGTTTTGTGGGAGGACAGAGTTGAGCTTCTGGCTCTCAACTGGGCAGATTAGGAACTTACTAGAACTCTTTCTAGTTACTTTCAGAGCCCATTTTTTTTGGATGTGTCATACATGACTTTACATAAGCCTTTAACAAAATCCCACTGATATTTTGACTTACCACCCATATTTGTTGAGACTGAGTTTCACTACATAGTAGAGAGTTCTAGAATATCAATGACTTAAACAAGATAGAATTTTATTTTTTTCATGTAGAGTCCAGAGGTGGGCAAGGCAGGGTTGAGATGGCAGCACTGAACTGCGGTATGTTCAGGGGCCCAGGCTTGCCCCAGTTCACCAGGCGACTTTCACATAAGTGCCTTTACCCACATGGCACAGCCATCACATCAGTGTTCCAGGCAGTAGGAAGGAGGAGGAGATGAAGAGCGATCACAGGTGTGCCCTAGCTCATTCATAAGGAGCACTGAAGCTGCCAGAGAAAATGTCCACGTATATCTCATTGGCCAAAACACGATGACAGCAAACAGCAAGGAATGCTGGGAATTTCCAAACCCATTTGTGTAGCTAAAAAAATGGAGGTTCACTTACCGTGAAACAAAGGGAGAACAACCATTGGGTGACAGACTATGGTATTTATAATACAACATTTAGGAATAAAATATTACTCTGGGTTTTGTAAAGAAATTCTTCCTTTTAGTTGCATTTACCTGTAACTTAAGTGTTGCCTCTTAGTTCTGATGTAACTGGCTTGATGTTGTTTCAGAAGCAACTAAAAGATGCCTGGGAGATCTTGCTGTGGAAATGGGAACTGGATGGTGCACTTAATGAAGTTAACTCAGTTTAATGAGGTGTCTTTTTAATATTACACTGTTATTACAACATGGTTGTGCCATTCCTTGTGTACTCGTCCTATGATTATCAACTTTAGTTATTTAACTTTTCACAAATTATCAAATGTAACTACTCAGCAAGTCGTATTTCCAGACTGATTTCTAACCTTTTTTGTCTGTGTTTACATGACGGCATCTCTAACATCACTATGAGCACATTGGATGCTCTCCTCTGCATCTTCTGGAAGCATGCATGTTTCCTCTTTAAAAAATGTAGAATGGAGTGAACACACCACTTTGGATAATCAAAACTCATCAACAGTTTGGCCAAGTTAGAGACAATCGAAAGGAGATAGCCTTTACAGCCAAAGAGATGGAAACAGATAATGCCATTTAAAATGTGGGCATATAATTACAGGAAGAAAAGATAGTGAAACATCATGAATATTGAAAGGAAATCTTGCTTCAGATACCTCTTAAAGTAG